GTGATTCCTATTTGGGCCTTGACCTAGGGTGGGATGGTGGATTCTGTTCCTGGCTCTGCAGCCTCGGGCCTGTTCTGTGGCTTTCCTTGAAATAAAATGAGGCCCAGTACTCTCTATCTATAGTATATATTTTCCTATTCATGTAATTTATATATTTCATATATGTTAAAATATGCTTTAATGTTTATATTATTCATACTTTATATTTTTATATTATGTATTTATAATTTATAAGATACATGTTTCTCTATAAATACATGTAGTTTCAATTAAAACAACTTGGAATCTGTTGTTCAAAACAAGGAACAAGAAATCCATGAGGGAATACTTTCAGAGAGCAGGGATTCGGAAATTTTTTCTAGTTTTATTGAGAAATAATTGACATAAAACATTGTAGGTTTAAGTGTACAACCTGCTGATACATTTATATACTGCAAATTGATTATACCACCATAGCCTTGGCTAACACCTGCATCATGATACATAGTTCCTTGTGTGTGTGTCTGTGTGTGGTGGGAACATTTAAGATCTACTCTTAGCAATGAGAGTTTTTCTTTATGTTGAGCTGATAGTCACTTCCTAAATCTTTCATCTGGTTTTACCCCATGGGAGAGAAAATACGTTTCTCCCAGCATGTCTTGCATTTTTCTTCCTACAAAAAAACTATTTATTTTTAAGATTTTATTTTTTGACACAGAGACAGCAAGAGAGGGAACACAGGCAGGGGGAGTGGGAGAGGGAGAAGCAGGCTTCCCGCTGAGCAGGGAGCCCGATGCGGGGCTTGATCCCAGGACCCTGGGATCATGACCTGAGCTGAAGGCAGACGCTTAACGACTGAGCCACTCAGGCACGCCACAAAAAAACTAAATGTGTCTGTAAGACCCCATCCCACAATGAAGGCGCTCATCAGTGGCTTCAGTGCTTCCCTATCTGTGGAATCCCATGATGGCTTGTGGCTTTGTTACCAGATACTCAGGCCTCTCCCCAGACCCACCAGCTTAGAATGTTGGGTGTGGGCCCAGGAATCACTTAATAATCCCTACAGGAGAGGCTGATGCACGGCCATGTGGGGATCCTGCTTCATGTGCTTGCTACTCAGTGTGGGATCTGAAGACCAGCAGCATCGGCACCAACCTTGTTATCAACCCAGAATCTCATGCTCTACTCCAGACTGTCTAGATCTTCATAGTCCAGGAATTTCCTGTGCACACTGAAGGGTGGGCCTCCCTGGTCTTTGTATTTTCTAGGTGCAGAACCAAACTATGCGGTACACTCTGGGTGTGTGCTCTGATCAGCTTGCTTAGCCTTGAGGAGTCCAGGGTTTGGTCCTGTTCCTTTCTCTTCTATGGCCCTCACCCCCTTAGGGACCTCATCTCTTCATCTCTAGTAAAGGCTTTAAACCTGGTTTATATGGCATGACCTCCCACATCTATTTCTCCAACCCAGATATTTCTCCTACCCTGAACTCTATATCCACCTATATCCAACCTCACCTGCATTTCTTTCTTTTTTAAGATTTGTTTGTTTATTTTAGAGAGGGTGGAGGGGCAGATGGAGATGGAGAGAGAGAATCCTAAGTGACTCCCTGCTGAGCAGCGGAGTTGGGGTGGGGTTGTCTGATGCAGGGCTTGATGCTATGACTCCAAGATCATGACCTGAGCCAAAATCAAGAGTCGGATGCTTAATCAACTGAGCCACCCAGGTGCTCCTCACTTGTATTTCTAGTAGACATCTCAGATTAATCATTTCCTAAATTGGATGCTTGTGATGCTGCTTACTCAAATATGCTACTTCTAGACACTTCCCCATTTCCACTGAAGGCACTCACATTTCTACTTGCAGTCTGAAATATTGGATACCCTCCCTGATTCCTCATTCCCTCTCCCTAGAATTAATCCATTAGGAAATGCTGCAAAGTCCATCTTTAAATATCTCCAGCACCCAATCACTTCCTACTATCTTCCCTTCTCAACCCCAGACGTACAGCCCACATCCCCCACCTGGGACACTGCACTGGTTTCCTACAGATTTCTCTGCTGGTCACTTGCCCTGCACTGCTCAATTCTGCACAGCAACAAACAGATGCTTCTAAGGAGAGGTGGTACTGGGTGGATCGTCTGTTTAAAACCATCTTGTAACGCCACATGTTACTCAGAGAAAACTCAAACTGTTCTAAAATCCTAAGGCTTGGACATCTGATGTCATTTCAGCTGCTCTCTGCTCCAGCCCCAGTGGCCTCCTTGCCCTTCCGTAACACAGGACAAGCTCCTGCCCTAGTGCGTGTGCACTGGGGGTTCCCTGCCTGGGAAGAGCTCCCCCCAGACCTCCTCTTACACAATTCCTTCATGACCTTCAAACCTCTCAAAGGCACCTTGGTGAGGCTCCCTCTGATCACTGTAGTGAAGTAGCCATCGTCCCCTTTCCAGCATAGGTACCTCTCTGGACCACCTTCCACATGTACTTCCCAACCTCTAACACACACACTTCCCTTAGTTACTAGCATATAGTCTGCCCCTCACTCCAGAACATATGCCCCACAAGGTAGGCAAATTTTGCCTGTTTTTTACTTGAGGTGTCCCTAGATGTGAAAATAATGTTCCTGTATCTGATAATTACCAGTTGAATGAATGATCTGCATAGAGCACCCCTCTCTTCTAGATGAGCCTCAGGCCATAGCTGTTCGTGGTAGCTACCACTTTTCTCCCCATTGCTGGTCTCCCTGCTCCACCCCCATTGCCTCCTTCCCACACCATCCCTCCTGCACAGCACAGGAAACAATTACAGTTCTCCATTCAGAAAAGTTGTACGTAGGCTTATGGGTCATATTTTCCAGACAAATGTGAATTCAAATTACACACTGCTTTATAACTCTACGAATTAGGATTGGAACCAGAACGAGGATCACTAGATCTAAGGGCAGGGGGGCAGGTAAGTGAGCAGAGAAAACAAACTGAAATTTAATAAGGATGAGAAACGATCAGATCCGGTCTCTAATTCCAGAATCTGCTTTTTAAAAAAAGATGGGGGAAAGATGGGAAGAATGATTCAGAACAGCTGTAGAAGGAGAAGAGACGGGTCTGAAAAAATTCATCTTGCAATACCACAGAGACTCTTGTGTGCAGGGGCTCACTGGGCCTTGTGGGAACAATGAGAGGCCATAGGACCCCTGTGGTGGTCACAGACTGGGGGACACCAGAGGAACATGAGACCAGAACTCGTACACAAGAATAAGAATAGGCCAAATTCTGTATATAAACCACCCAAAAGTTGGGCCTGAGGGCCTGATCCAAGCTGGAGCCTAGGCTGACCTGGTAAGGAAGCTCTTGATGCCCATGGTCCTAGAAACAGGTGATGTCTGAGTCCCTGTGATCACAGGTCTTGGTGGAACAAGTTTCCACTGAAGGGACCAGGGAATAGCGAAGATGACTCAGCTGAGGAGTGACCATGTTAAAGCCCACAATGCACTGAGTACTAACCAGGCACAGTTCTGACCACAGTTGGCTACTCACAGCCTCTCCTGCCCCACCTATAACAGCACAGCAATCAGGCAGCTTCTGGAAGGTTCTCCACTTCCACTTATTTCCCATCTCAACTTGAGGAGTCTTTTCCTTTACTACCTTTATTACCACCTTAGTCCTATATGACAAGAATAGAAAACAAATACCCAGATTTTCAGTAGAGAAGTAAAATATTACTTCTCAAACATGAAGTAAAGACAGGGATGGAGATGACCTAGTCCCATCTCTGCTGGAACAGGAAAGCAGATCAGGGAAGAGAGCATAGGTCATTTTGGGGAGAGGTAATGATGGGTAGGGGTGGGCCAGTTTCCCCACTCCTCACATTATGCTAATAGGAACACAGAGACATTCAGACACCGTTAGCAGATAGAGACATCCCGGGCTCTTGATGTCAAAAAAAAAAGTAGGAGTGTGGGGCACCTGGGTGGCTCAGATGGTTAAGCGTCTGCCTTCGGCTCAGGTCATGATCTCAGGGTCCTGGGATCAAGCCCTGAGTCAGGCTCCCTGCTCAGCGGGAAGTCTGCTTCTTCCTCTCCCTCTACTGCTCCCTCTGCTTGTACTCTCTCACTCTCTCTGTCAAATAAATAAAATAAAAAAAAAAGTGGGAGTGTGAACAAATCTTGTATCACTCAGTCCCCCACAAGGCAACTGGTTCACACTGTGAAAGAAAATAATCATGAACAAATTCAGGTCAATCATGTAAATGTTGACATCTCCACAGCCCACTAAATGCTATACTGTCCCATTCAAACAATCCTCATAACCCAGTCATGTCCCCTCGGCCCCAACCCCTCCCTACTTGAGGCCCTCCAGGGTCTCACATTTAGGAGCCATGAAAGACACATCAGAGCACAGGGCACTGTCATTGCGTAGGGTAGAACAAACAGGACATGGTCAGAGCCCACTGGAGATGAGACTAAAGGAGGAGCTATGGGGTGGGTAAGCTCCCCATGGGGTCCTGTCTACACTGTCCCAGGGTCTCAGGGATCACTCCCTCCATACTTACTTTCAGTCTGCTGTGAGTAGCTCCCTCCTTTTCCACTGTGGGAAGAAAACATCATGTCAGAGGCCAGGGAGAAGGCTGGTCATGGTATCCAGAGGAATACCCTAGACCTATACCAAAATGAAGTTTCCAGAACTGTTAACTGAAGACTCATGGCTGTATCAGAAAACACGAAGAAAGGATGTAGGGGCACTGGACCAACTGTCTTCTGGAGGTCTGTCTACATCAAGGAATTGCCCCTGACCTTCAACTGCTGGGGATCAGGTCCCCAACAACAGAATATAAAGGTAAAAAACTTGTCCTTCATTTGCACAAATCTTTACTAAAGAGTTAATGTTAGCAATTGGCTCCAGAGTGGGCAAGCACAGGTATGTGGATGGTACTTCTCATTAACAAGGCAGGACAAACTTCTACCTTGGGCTTGAAACCTCTCAGTGGGACGAGAAAACTCAAATTCCCCTCCCACTCCCTTCCCTACCTTAGTGCTTCTTCCTCCACATCAAAGCTCCCACCACCACAGCTCCAGTGACCACAAAGAGAACCAGGCCAGCAATGGTGCCCATGATGGGGATGGTGGGCTCAGGCGGCAGCTCTAGGAAGGGGGAAGGTGAGGGGCTCAGACCTCAGGCTTGAATCATAACCTTGCAGATGTTTTGCCAAAGAGCTACTTTCTCTGTGAAGAGGCTCCACCCCAAACCCCTCCTTACCCCATCTCAAGGTGATGGGCTCGGGCAGCCCCTCATGCTGCACATGGCAGGTGTATCTCTGCTCCTGTCCAGGAGGCACCTTCACAGCCGCCCACTTCTGGAAGGTCCCATTTCCTGCAGGCCTGGTCTCCACAAGCTCTGTGTCCTGGGTCAGGTCCTCCCCATCGTGGTGCCAGGTCAGGGTGATCTCCGCAGGGTAGAAGCCCAGGGCCCAACACCTCAGGGTGACATGGTCAGAGATGGGGTGGCGGGTCACGTGTGTGTTGGGGGGTTCTGAGGAAGAAGAACCAGAAAGTCCACACTTAGGGTTACCTTCATGGGTCACTATAAGCAGCCCTCGTGACCATCCTGAGGATGGAAAGGACAAATGGTTTAGAAGGGAAAAGCACAAAACCCTGACAACAGCCTAGACTCAGGGATCTGGAATAATGTTTTAGAAGCAGGGAGAGATCCCAGGACAGGCGAGTGCACGTCTAGAGTGGGGAACACACTAATGGTCCTGACTGCGGTGGAGCATCAGTGACTCAGAAAACCAGGAGTCAGACCTCCAAGGATGTTCTCAGATGGAGAAAAAGGCTTTGAGAGGGAAAGTCATGGTTTACAAGGTGATTGCCAGGATGGAGGGGACCGCTGATGGGTTATTTCAGGGACGGTCTCCACCTGCCTCCGGGGAGAGACTGGATTGTCCTTTAGCGAGAAGCGGCCCTCTGGGTGAGGCCCTCCCTCTCTAGTAGCGACATGGACACCCGGGCGGATCTCCGTCTCCCCACCCGTGGGAGGGGCGCTGTTCTGACACTGAGTCCATTTTCCCTTCCTGGTGGGAAGCCAGCCCCAGTGGAGGGGAGATCGGGGAGGCCCCGCGGCCCCTGATACCTGCGCGCTGCAGCGTCTCCTTCCCGTGCTCCAGGTGCCTGCCGAGCCACTCCACGCAGGTGCCCTCCAGGTAGTTTCGCCACCGCTCCGCCGCACCGGCCGCCTCCCACTTGCGCCGGGTGATCTGCGCCGTCGTGTCCGCCGCGGTCCAGGAGCGCAGGTCCTCGTTCAGGGCGATGTAATCCGCGCCGTCGTAGGCCTCACGAAAGTACCCGCGCAGGAAGCGCCCATCAGGCCCCACGTCGCAGCCGTACATTCTCTGGATGGTGTGAGACCCTGGCCCCGGCCCACCACGACCTATCGTCATTAAAGCCTAAACTGAAAACCAAACGGTTCTTCCCTGTTCGGGGTACGGCGGTGTCCCGCAGCCTCGGGGTGGTGCTCGGACACGGAGACTTGGGGCGACCCCGGCCCGTCCGTGGGGATGGGGATCGTGATCTGTCCCCTGCCCGGTCGCTCACCTGCCTCGCTCTGGTTGTAGTAGCCGCGCACTTCGTTCAGCTTCCCTCGGAGAGTCTGTGTGCACGTCCTGGAGTCCCGCGTCAGCCGGTCCCAGTACTCCGGCCCCTCCTGCCCCCCCCACGGCGCCCGCGGCTCCATCCTCAGACTGACAGAGTCGCTGTCGAACCGCGCGAACTGCGTGTCGTCCACGTAGCCGACTTCCACGTACCGGGGCTCCCCGCGGCCGGGCCGGGACGTGACGGTGAGCAAAAACCTCAGGGAGTGGGAGCCTGCGGGCGCGGAGGGGCTGAGATCCCACCCGACCCTCCTCCCGGCGCGGGGCAGGGGCCCAGGGGGAGGCAGCCGGGAGGGCAGGTGGCGAGGGTTCGCGCGACGGAAAAGGGGCACTGGGTGGGAGAAGAGTCGGGACCAAGGCGTGGGTGGGGCGGAGGTGAGGGCTCCGAGCGCCGGCGGCAGAGCGGAGCAGCGCTTGGGTCCGGCAGCCCCCTCCCGCCTCCCACGCTGAGGCGGTTTCTCCCGCACTCACCCGCCCAGGTCTCGGTCACGGCCGGGGCCCCGGAGAGCAGCAGCAGGAGGAGGGTTGGGGGACGCATGACTGGCAACCACCTGTTCCGGGGAGAAACTGAGTCGCCCCGCGGCCGGTGAAAACACCGGAACGCTGATTGGCTTCTCTGGAACCCCGACACGCAATGGGAGTGCGAACTGGGGTCGCGTCATCAGGATCCAGGCAGGAGGACCTGACAGAGGTTGTGAGAAGTAGTGAAACCGGGGGAGATGCGGACCACCTAACGCTGGACTTTCCCGCCCAAGACACCGCCCTCGCGCGGGGACGCTGAGAGACAGGCCCAGGGATTTATGACTTTGTCCTGACCCCTCTTCTCCTGCACTGAGTGGTCTTGTCACATTGTCTCACTGCTGAGCCAGTGATTCTCAAACATTTTGTTTTCAGGATATCTATATAATCTTACAATTTAGTGAGGACTAATTATCCAAGGATAATTTTGTGTATGTGGGTTATACCTATCAATATTTACCAAACTAGGAATAAAGGGGTTTTAAAATTTCTTTCATGAGCTCATTTGAATGATATTAATAAACCATTGCATGTAAACAAAAAATTGTTTTGTGAAAAATAACTATTTCCCAAAATAAACAGGGTAGTGAGAATATTGATCTTTGTACATACTGCATCATTGCAAGTCTCTCACATTAGAAAACTGCTGGATGTTCACATTTGCTTTCTTTTTTATTTAAATTCAATTAGCCAACGTATAGTAACATCATTAGATTGTGATATAATGTTCAGTGATTCATTAGTTGCGAATAACACCCGGTGCTCGGTCCTTAATGCCCATCACCCATTTCCCCCATCCCCCGCCCCCCTCCCTTCTGAAACCCTCAATTTGTTTCCTGGAGTCCAGAGTCTCTCATGGTTTGTCTCCCTCTCAGAGTTCTTCCCAGTTTTCCCTCGCTTCTGCTATGGTCTTCTGTGCTATTCCTTATATTCCACATATGAGGGAAACCATATGATAATTGTCTTTCTCTGCTTGACTTGAACTTAGCATGACCCCCTCCAGTTCCATCCCTGTGGATGCAAATGGTGGGTATTCATCCTTTCTGATGGCTGAGTAGTATTCCATTGTATATATGGACCACATCTTATTTATCCATTCATCTGTTGAAGGACATCTTGGCTCCTTCCACAGTTTGGTTATTGTGGACATTGATGCTATGAACATTGGAGTGCAGGTGCCCCTTCTTTTCACTACATCTGTATCTTTAGGGTAAATACCCAGTAGTGCAATTGCTGGGTCATAAGTAGCTCTATTTTTAACGTCTTGAGGAACCTCCTACTGTTTTCCAGAGTGGCCATACCAGCTTGCATTCCCACCAACAGTGTAAGAGGGTTCCCCTTTCTCTGCATCCTTGCCAACATTTGTTGTTCCCTGTCATGTTAATTTTGGCCATTCTAACTGGCGTAAGGTGGTATCTCATTGTCTTTTTTTTTAATTACCATGTTCAATTAGCCAACATATAGTACATCATTAGTTTTTGATGTAGTGCTCAACGATTCATTAGTTGCATATAACACCCAGTGCTCATCAGATCATGTGCCCTACTTAATACCCATCACCCAGTTACCCCATCTCCCCACCCCCCTCCCTTCTGTAACCCTGTTTGTTTCTCGGAGTCCAGAGTCTGTCATGGTTTGTCTCCCTCTCTGATATCTTCCCCTTCAGTTTTCCCTCCCTTCCCTTTTGGTTCTCAGAGCTATTCCTTATATTCCACATGAGTAAAACCATGATAATTGTCTTTCTCTGCTTGACTTATTTCACTCAGCATAATCCCCTCCAGTTCCATCCCTGTGGATGCAAATGGTAAGTATTCATCCTTTCTGATGGCTGAGTAAAATTCCATTGTATATATGAACCACGTCTTTATCCATTCATCTGTTGAAGTACATCTCAGCTCCTTCCACAGTTTAGCTATTGTGGACATTGCTGCTATGAACATTGGGGTGTATGTGCCCCTTCTTTTCACTACATCTGTATCTTCAGGGTAAATACCTAGTAGTGCAGTTGCTGGGTCATAGGGTAGCTCTATTTTTATTTTTGTTGTTATTGTTGTTGTTTTAATGAGTCTTGTTTTTTAATTCACTCTGTCACCCTGTGTTTTTTAATCAGAGCATTTAGGCCATTTACATTCAAAGTGATTATTGATAGGAACGTATTTATTGCTATTTGGTTGCTCTGGTCATCAGTTTGGTGGCATTCCCCTGATGGAACCCCCTGAATCCTCACCTCTCATTTGTCATCTTTCAAAGCTCCTGACAGGAGCCTTTGTCAGGGAGCCCTATGACATAACCAAAGCACAAGATGGTGGAAAAGAGTAGAGCTACTTCAGGGGCTACAGATCTGTGGGGTTAAGCTCAGCAATTTTAGGACAAGTCAGTGTTAAGTGTGTAAACTGAGACTGAGGGTGTAATTTGGTGAATGTATGAGACTATGGACATCAGAACAACATGGACTTAAAAGTCACCTTGGCCAGCAAGGAGAGTGTGGGGGTTTCTTTGGTCAAGGATATGGACCATTATCCCCGCAAGAGAGAACCAATCTCTGATCCATCAGGTCCCAGCCAGGGAACAGTGGCTACCATTTATCTGACCAAGAGGCTGGGCCTTGAGGGAATTTCTGCCTTAAAAATAACTGCACAAGGAAATGCTGGAATGCTGGAAATCTTAGCTCATATGTAAGCATAGATGTTAATGGAAACAGGACCAGCTGTGGTCTTAAAGGTACACTGAACATCTTTTCCCCTACATACAAAACAAGGAGGAAAAGGAATTCGGAGATCATTGACAAGCATCCCAGGAGGATTCTCATCTTGGTAAAGATGGAACCTGGAGCCCTTAGATGAAGATTGAGGATGGGAAGTCCTGTGTGCCCTTAATCCATCTGCAAATTATCTTCCTTTGGCCTTGTCCCTTCCACATGCAGGATTTGATCTCTGTACATGTTTTTCCCACTTAATGCTGATGCAATTCCAGAGATTGAACTAGAAAACTACAGATTCCAAATACTGGGTCAAAACAAAACCAAAACCAAAAACACCCCACCATAGGGGCGCCTGGGTAGCTCAGATGGTTGGGTGTCTGCCTTCGGCTCGGGTCATGATCTCCAGGTCCTGGGATCAAGCCCCACGTAGGGCTCACGGCTCGGCGGGGAGTCTGCTTCTTCCTCTCCGTCTGCCTCTCCCCTGCTCATGCTCTCTCTTTCTGTATCTCTCTGTCTCAAATGAATAAGTAAAATATTAAAAAGAAACACCCCACATCAATAAAAGAAGCAAGAAAAAGTCCTCCTTCCTTTAAAGTGTAGAAAGGCAGCCATGGTCCTGGGGTAGGAAGTAGTTCTGGCAAGTATTACTCTTTTTTTTTTTTTTAAAGATTTTATTTATTTATTTGACAGAGAGAGAGACACAGCAAGAGAGGGAACACGAGCAGGGGGAGTGGGAGAGGGAGACGCAGGCTTCCAGCCGAGCAGGGAGCCCGATGCGGGGCTCGATCCCAGGACCCTGGGACTATGACTGGAGTCGAAGGCCGACGCTCAATGACTGGGCCACCCAGGCGCCCCTGGCAAGTGTTGCTCTTAAAGACACCCAATTTCAGTGGTTGTTGCTATTCCTGTGAAAGGACTTGCAACCTCTAAATCTCAGGAGTTCTAAGGGGCTTCCTCTGCCGTTTGCCCAAATCCGTTATACTGAAATGAATCTGTCCTCTGAGAAAGGGGGTCTTGGGGTGCCTTTGGTAGCTGGGGAGGAGGACTGGCTCTTCTCCTTCCTCCCACATACAATAGCTGATGACTCTGTAAGATTTCTTAGTTCAAGAATGAATATGAGAGTCTGTACCTCTTTTAAATTACTGTAGGAAGTAAAAGAACCAAACCACACTCCTGGGCTCTAAAAGAAAAAGGGCTTTAATATAATAATATTCAAACCTATCACTTACTATTTAAGACAATTAAATATTGCCCCTCCAAATAAGTAAAGAGATGGGAGGAAGAGGTGTCGAACAGATGGGCCGCATGCACCACAAGTGCCCCAGCTGCTGAGGAAACCTCGCACTGCCACTGGATATTCGCTCAGCCCTGAGGTTGCCTATGGCCACTTGTTTTTGAGTGCTGCCGGTCAGCTAGGACCAGGGCTCCAGCTGGCAGGACAAGATGTAGCTAAAGACAGAGTGACACCTGTGGGTTGACCAGGAGCTTCAGTTCAGGAGTCCTTCCCACTGTTTTCCCAGTAGCTTGAGTCTGGTCCCCCGGCGAGGCCTGAGGCTGCCCAGGGAGCCATAGAAGAAGGATCCCTGGAATGGCCACCAGAAAGAGTCCACCCTACCCTAACCAGCTCCTGATGTGCCTCACCTCTCATCCTTGCTGAGCCGCTCCATAGGCTGGAACCAGGCCTGAAATGGATCCTCAGACTCTAGGTTGTAATTATCTGCAGCTGCCTGGAGCAGCATGATCTCTGTCATTCTTTATTATCAAACTATCCCAGTAAATGTGAGATGGAGGGGATGGAGCCAAGGAATGTTCTTCCCAGGGACATATCGGATATCCATTCTGTTACACTTCCCTACAGGAAGTGATACAGATGCTCACCTTATTCTTCTTCTGGTGGTTGATCTCATTCTCCTGGAAAGCAGACAACCAAAGTCCATCAGAAAAAGCCCCTGGTTATTACTAGCTCCTTATACCCACCACTTCTCATGCTGCATTAAGGCCAGGACACATGAGGGGGCCGTGCATACACAGATAACAGGACTGGGACCTAGGCCAGGCTCTGGGGTCCAGCAAAAGGAGGATATGGGGTGGACAGTCTGGCACCCTGTAGCACAACCCTCTCTGATGACAGAAGGGGAGGCCAAAGCCTCAGGTAGGAAGGTGCTGCTAGGCTACTGAAGTGCTTGCTGATGTGGGGGGTCCTGACTTCACTCTCCTCCCACAGGCAACCTCAGAGGGAGAGGCTCAGGTCAATTCAGACAAACCTGGTGCAGCTTTGCATTCAGGCACCCTCACCCGTCTTGGGGACCGCAAGCTGTGTCCTAAGAGCAGCCTCCCTTCACTCATCACTGAGATGGGCAAGAAACCCCAGCCCACAGGGGCAGCTGTGAGGCTGTCATGAAGGGAGGTTTGCCAAGTCCTGAGAGCTCAGGGCTCAGTACAGGGGCTCTCTGCTCCCAAACCTCAGGATTGTGGTCCCTCCTCCACAATCAGGCTCACACTCCTCCAGATAGTCCTCCATTGCAATGTCCAGCATCACCACATCAGTGAGGAAAGTGCCAAGGAAGGGGGCAACACCCTGTGTAGGTGGGATGAGTCCCTGCTCTCTGGTGCCCATAGGGACCCCCCCCGAAAACCTTTCAACCTCCTGGCCCACCCCAGGTTCCCACGTGGAGCGGCCTAGGGCCCTTAGCAGCCTTCCCTCAATTCCGCTGCCCTTCACCCTCCAAGAACATCAGACTCCTCCTAATCACCTCCAGGGACTGCTTTTAGAAAATCAAGGGTAAGGGCGCCTGGGTGGCTCAGTCAGTTAAGCGTCTGCTTTCAGCTCAGGTCATGATCCCAGGGTCCTGAGATTGAGCCCCGCATCGGGCTCCCCGCTCAGTGGGAGGCCTGCTTCTCCCTCTCCCACTGTCTACTGCTCTCCCTGCTTGTGCTCTCTCTCTCTCTATCAAATAAATAAATAAAATCTTAAAAAAAAAAAGAAAATCACAGGGTATGTAGCCCTGGGCCCCTCCCCACCCACCTTCTTCTGCAGCCTCTTCTGGATTCTCTGGAGGTCCATCACCAGGGTGGCAAATTTAGATTGCTGCTCCTGCAGGACGAAGGACAAATTCCTTGAGACCATAATACCATCAGTCTACTTCCCTCCATCATCTTTTACTTCAGACCCTGGACATCTGACCCAAATCAGCTGATACCAATGCCGCATTATCCTTAAGCATGACATGAGTGATTCTAGAACAATCTCAGCTCCAGCATTCACTCCATGTGTGATCTTGAGCTTGCAGCCTGGCTTCCCTGAGCCTGTTTTCTCATCAGGAAAAGTGAGAACCCACCCACCGCCCATGGTCTCCTGAGGACTTAGTGTCATTGTTCACATCATCTTTGTGGCCCTCAACCCATCCCAACCCCATCCCTGAGCAGAGGCCTGTCCTCTGGGCTCTCAAGGTTTGTACCGGCCCCCATCTGGACCAGCTGTTGACACAGAGAGACAAGGTGTGCAGGCTAGGGAGTCTGGTTGAGCAGCACCTGATTGTCCCAGCCCCAATGGAATCTTCCCCCCAGGTTGTCACCACATTCATGCCAAAGGCTTCCCCTCTCCAAGGAATGCTTCAGGCCATTCCCTACTTCATCCACTCAGGACCTTGTTCCCTGCTCACCCTTCCTCTCTTTCGAGACCTGCACATTTCCTACTCTGTGAGCTGTCTTCAATGCACAGCATTTTAAATTTTTGAAAGCTCTTCCTGAATAGGGGGAAAGAAGGCAGGATCAGTGTAGGAATAATATGGCAGGGTTGAGTGTAAGTCCCTTTTATTTAGAACCCAAATGTGTCAAACTGCCTGGATAAAGGTTTTCTTTGGGTTCCTCTGAGCCCTAAGGTCTTTGTAGGACATGGGAGGAAGCTCTCATGGGGGTCATCTAGTTGTCTCCATTCCCATATTAATGGAGTAGCTCTGTTTTGGCCAATTTGGGTTTCAGTTGGGAGATAGTTTAGTAAAACTGTAAAGTAAAAGTGAAAATATTTAACTCGTCTCAGCCTAGCGTAGGACATTTAGGAAAACTGATTTCTAAAGCAGGAGGTAGGGTGGCCTATTCCCCAGGGAGGCTGAGAGAGCAGCCCACCAGTCCAGGTCCTGTTTTCAGGGTTTACTGCCTCCCAGGAGGTCCAAGCTGACTGATGGGGGAAAACAACAGGCCTATGGAGGATCCCTCATCCATCCTGGTCCTTCTATGGAAAGAGGCACACTCACCTGGAAACCTTCTGCCATGTCTTCTTCAGGCGGTGAACTGAGGCAATCTGCAGAGCCAAGAGAATGGCAAGCAGGGAGGAGTTCTGCAGGATTTGACAGGCCTGGGGAAGGAAGAGAATGAGCTGTCAGGTGGGAAGCAGGAGCCCTATTTGCTCTAGAGCTTCAGTCCCCCTCAGTTTAAATCTCTGCTCCTGGATGAGACAGGGACCTGCAGAAAGGCATGTGTAAGACCCAGAGTAATTCTCCTGGGGAGAGGGAGGATTTTACCTCACTCCAAGGAAGCAGCCAGGTAGGAATTGAGCATTCCAACATTGGGCTATGCAAGTAAATGTCAGCATGCCCCTGGAGGAAGAGTCTAGGGACTGCACAGTCCCTAGGGCTTAGACCAGGGACTTCAACCCTGAGAACTGATACAAGGAAGAGCAGTTCCCGAGACTCAGGAGAGCAACTCAGCTGGGTCTCCCATAGCATACCTGGGCCACCTTTGTCCAGTGCTCCACCACTATGACCCTGTCCCTGGAGTCCCTGGATTTCATTCCATTCTTTTCCACTGAGGGAACCTAGTACAGGATGACCCAGGGGTGAATATTGGCAGGGAAGAAGGAAGGGCATTTATACCCTGATCATCCTCACTAACTCCAAGCTCCAGGTGGCAGTTCAAGATGGCTCCTCACAAAGGAGCATCTTCCCCTCCAACTGTTCATCCCTCTGGTCCTACTCCCCTTTCATATACACATTCTCACATGATAGATACAATCACAGGTTTGTCTGTCTGCCCTGAACTTAAGTACACATCAGATGCCTAATAAGTCCTGAGGGTGCTCAGCATCCAAGGCAGACGGGTGACCCATGGACTTGGCTGCACACAGTGAGCTGCCTTCCCCCACCCAAAGGACCAGGGCCTGCCCATTTGTCTATCTCTTCTGGCTCATTTATCTACACAGTAACTCTGCATCACTTCTCATCAGTGTCTATCTCTATAGTCCGCAGCTGGACAGTAAAAGCTTGGGTTTAAGGACCTTGACAGGTTGACATGGTTGGTGAGTTGTGGAGCTGAGATCTGGACTCCGACTGTAGGCGTCCACAACAGGGAAAGGCAGGTGTGGGGCAGCTGAGAGCAGAAGAAAAGCCTGCCCCTGCCCCGCCCTGAGTGCCCAGCTGCTCACTACATCAACGTGTGACAGTTCCTCTGCCACCAGCTTGGGAGGGAAGTCCAGGAGGTTGAGCCTCTCCTCATTCAGCTGGTTCTTTGGGGTTACACACCAGTAGCAGGAAGCCTCTGGGGCTGGAGTTGGATCTGTCT